GCTCGCCGTGGCAACCTATCTTGTGACATGCGTAACACGCACAGGATAAAAACAAGACTATATTAGGGTATGGTAGAAGATTTAGGATATTTCATCCAATAAAAATGAAACTAAACACAATTGGAGAGTGTGAGAGCTCACACTAGAGTGGATCTTTCAACGTAAACAAAAAAAAGCAAGTAACACAGAAGAAATTCCACAATATGAACAAGTAAGGCTAATATTACAATGTTATTTCAACTGCCTTGAGGAGAGTGATCCCAGTAGCAATATCATAGACAAAATGCTTTGAGAGAGAATGAATATCTATAAATATATATGGTGGTGGTGGCGTAGTGGTTTAGCCGCTGTCACCGGCGTGCTTTGGACCCTATGGTCCGAGGTTCGAGCCCCGCCACCGCCACCCGACTTTGGTGGTAGGCAGCTCTGCTGTCGCCCGGTTCAATACCACGCCTAACCTGTCGGGGCCTTATGTGGTTCGCCACCCCAAGTTCCGGGGGCTTAGGTTGCCGATTTCAACCACTGAACAGCAGGTCCTCGAGACTATGGGGTTTACCCCGTCTGCTGTTCATCACACCTAGGTGTGTAACAAAAAAAATAGAACATTAAAATAATTAAATCACAACTTCCAACTGGTTCTTCTTCATGCTTTCACTGTAAACCGTTTACAAACAAGCCGGTTTACCTTTTCAGCTTGCTCTAATGCCTTTCTTCTTGCTTCCGCTTGCTGGTGTCTTGTTTGCATACGAGATCGGAGCTCGGACAGTTTGGCTTCGCGCTGCTCTAACACTCGTTGTCTGGCATTTTCCACGGCTGCTTCCGTGGCCAATAGGCAAGCGAGGCGGGCCGCATGTAAGCGATCTGCCTCGGCTCGGGAAACATCTCGACGATCTTTCGCGTGAATCGGCCGACGCTGAGGGATTATTTGACTGGCTGGTCGAAAGGACGTTTGACTACGGTCGGAACGAAAATTGCTATCATCCAGGTATTCGCGTTTTGGTAGATGTGTGAAGATCACCTCAGCAGTATCACCAACACCCGGAGAGAACAAAGGGAGCGGGGCAGTAATACGTCGGTGTGGCTCTGTTTTTGAGGAAAACAATGATGACCATCACGTGTGAGCAAAGGTTTTTACGATTAAACGGCATTTTTCAAGTAGCAGAGGGCATAAAACGTTTGGTGATCAACCTATATATCAGGTTTCAAATCACAAAGTAATCAGCGAAAGAAAAAGAGCAATACTAGTTTAGAGTCAATTTGCTTACTTACTCATTTCGTTCAGCTCATTTTTAGCTTTCTAGTCCTCTAATTCGTTTGATTGGGAACAAACAAATTATATAAAATACTCTCATTGGCTAACCCGATAACGTGAGCTTGTGAAAAATACAGTAGCCTCGGTGGGATTCGAACCTGCGCATGGACGCTGCCTACGTTTTTGTACAGTGCACGCTCTATCGGCGGAACTACGAGACCACGCCAATAGCATTGATCTTTTCACAGTTCAACGTTCACAATCAGGACTGGTTGACACATTCATCTGATACTTCTCCTTTGGGGCGCAAAGCCCAACACCTCGCCT